ATAATGACAATATTTTTTATTTATTTATAAGGTATCATAATCTAAAATGTTCTAAAATATATTTTAACTCTTATCTATCTACATATTATATAAGGAAAATGAGGTTTTTAACCCACAAATTTTGTAGAAGTTTCAATATCACAATCTTAATTTTTTAATTTAAAAAAATAAATAACCTCAGCATTTATTGACTTCTTCCAACCCACAAACCTTTTTGACTTCTATTATAGTTACTGCAGCACCCTTTTTAACTTCTCTCATACACTATGGTTCGTGATGGGATTGTTAAATTATTTTTATAAAAAATATAATTTATATATTAAAAAAATATCTAAATCAAATATAAATATCTATATCTATATATTATATAAGAAAAATGGGGTTTCTAATGAGAAGCCTCCTAAGAGCTCTAAACTCTCATTCTAAAATTATTAAACTTTCAATTTATAAAATAGATTAAAAAAATCTATTGGCTGATTTATTTATTTAATTATTTTAGAAATAATAATGGGAAGCTAACAAAAATATTTCATAATCTCTTTCACCAGTTTAAAAATAATAATAATTAAAACTTGCATTCTTTTTCTCTCCTTCAAAAAATCAGATAATATTTTTCATAAAGGTTGTGGGTATCTGTTTATATCTTATATATTATATTATAACATAACAAAAAAAAAATTAAAAATCAAATATACAAACAGATAAAATTAATAAATTAGATTTTTATTTATTCAATTAAAATATTTCTTTTGCCTCTCAATATCAAATTTTAAAAATCTATAAAATCTATCTAAACAAATCTGATTTGAAAATATATCCCACTATCATAATTTAAATAAATAAAACTCACATATCTATCACATATTTAGCTCGCATCATAACTTACTTAAATAATAATAATAATAATTAAAAATAAATAGAAACCACAGATAAATTAAATTTAAAAATAAAAATAAAAACCCACAACTCTATTTAAAATAAATTTTAAAAAAAATAGAAATCACACAAAAATAAAGAAGATAAGAATTTAGATATGGATCTCAAACAGATATAACAATATCTAAATTTGAATTATGATTTAATAATATAAGTATCTATTTTTTTGATGTATATCTATCAAAATTTTAAATAACTTAATATGACAAATTAATTAATTTTCTAATTGATTTTTCAATTTATAAAATAGATTTTTTTTAAAAATATTGACTGGTTTATTTATTTAATTATTTTATAAATAACAATTATCCTTTAATTTATGAATTTCAAATGGAAAGATATCAAAAATATTTCATAATCTCTTCATGCTAATCTCTCTCACTGATTTTTCAAAAAAAATTAAAACTTGTCTGCCTTCTCTCTTCCCCAAAAAATTAGATAATATTTTTCATGAAAGTTGTGAATATCTATCTATATCTTATATATTATATTATAACATAACAAAAAAAAACTAAAAATCAGATATACAAACAGATAAAATTAATAATTTTTATTTTTATTTATTCGGTTAAAATCTTTCTTTTGCATCTCAATATCCAATTTTAAGTTTTAAAAATCTTTAAAGTTTTTCTAAACAAATCTAATTTGAAAATATCTTTCATCATTATACTTTAAATCAATAAAACCCACATGTCTATCACAAATCTAACTATCATCATAACTTACCTAAATAATAATAATTAAAAAAAATAGAAACCATAGATAAATTAAATTGGAAAAAAAAAATAGAAACCCACAACTCCATTTTAAGTAAATTGAAAAAAAAAAAACACACAAAAATAAAAAATAAAATGATAATAATTTAGATATGGATCTCAAAAAAATATGATAATATCTAAATTTGAATTATAATTTAGTAATATAATTATCTATTTTTCTTATATGTATCTATCAAAATTTTAAATCACTTAATGGGATAAATTAATCAATTTTTAAGTCTTATTTAAAGAATAATATGATTAGTCATTCCAATTCCTAGACTTCACGGGCACTAGCGGATGAGCAAACGGATTGAATTATGTGAGGTCTAAATTGTTGGAGGTAATAAATTAGATTTTTATTTATTCAGTTAAAATATTTCTTTTGCCTCTTAATATTCAATTTTAAATTTTAAAAATCTATAAAGTTTATCTAAACAAATTTGATTTGAAAATATCTCACACTAGTATACTTTAAATCAATAAAATTCACATATCTATCACATATTTAACTCACATCATAGCTTACATAAATAATAATAATAATTAAAAAGAAATAGAAACTGTATATAAATTAAATTTAAAAAAATAAAATAAAAACCCACAACTCCATCTAAAATAAATTCAAAAAAAAAAAAAAAAAAAAAAACACACAAAAATAAAAAATAAAATGATAATAATTTAGATATGGATCTCAAAAAAATATGATAATATCTAAATTTGAATTATGATTTAGTAATATAATTATCTATTTTTCTTATATGTATCTATCACAATTTTAAATCACTTAATGGGATAAATTAATCAATTTTTAAGTCTTATTTAAAGAATAATATGATTAGTCATCCCAATTCCTAGACTTCACGGGCACTAGCGGATGAGCTAACGGATTGAATTATGTGAGGTCTAAATTGTTGGAGGTAACATTCTTTCATTTCATAATTTTATTTGTTTTTTGAATCAAAAAAAAAATTATTTGTTTTTTAATTTTATTTTTTTCTATGTATGATTCTCTCTCTTTGCTGTTGGTTTGGTTTCGGTTTCGGTTTCGGTTTCAGTTTCAGTTTTAGCGAGATTTATGTGTTTTGTTTATAGGTTTGCATGGTAGAGAATAATTATTGGTGATTATGGTTACAATTGAAGTATCTATGTCCGTTATATGCCAAAGATTTTGATCGGATTTTGTTTTCTTCAATGAAAACCATAAAATTGAAGTAAAAAAAATAGGTATCAAAATTTTTTATTTTTTATTGTCATTTTATTTTATAGAAAATATAAAAATTTCTTGAGAATTCAAGATTTTACTATAACATTAGATAAATTTAAAACTTTTAAATATCATTATGTTATTTATTTTTTTCCTCTTTCTATCCCATTATACAATTGCAGCTATTTGTTAATTTGTTAATTATAATTCAATTAATTGAAAATAAAAGTTTAATATAACTTTTTATATATATTATAGCTAATTTGTTACGGCTATAGTTGTATATAATAGCAGAATATATAGAGATAATCTCTAAATATAATTTTTATTTTTTTAAGTGATTAAATAGTCCATCTTAAATAGTATGTAAAAGAGTTAGATGGCTTCTTTTACATCTAAAAAACCCAATCTATTTTTTTTTTTACTTTTTAAAATTTTAAATTAAAACATCAATTGTTTATGTCTATAAAACAAAACTAATAAACATATATACAAAAGCTACACATTTTTTTTAATTTTTTTAATATGTAGGATATTTACAAATAAAAAATGTTTGACGTCTTAATTTTTTTTTCCATAATCTGACTTATAATGATGTAATCATTAGTGTCAATTTCTATACAAATATAAGAAAAGAATTAATTAAATTATACATTTCAACCAATCATATACTCAAACTTTGGCTATTTCAAGATATTATTTCACTATAATTCCAATTAAAATAATCTTCAACCTTAATATTTTTTTATCAAATTATAATTTGATAAAAATTTAAATAGATGAAATGTTGAAAATTATTATTTTTTCCATCAAAATTGGTGAAAGAAAAAAAAATGGAATAAGAATGAAATTCTTTTAAAAATTGATAAAAATTTAATGAAAAAATTAAGTAATTCATATAAAATCAAAAAAATTATTCAAATTTAAAATCAAATTAGATAAAAAAAAATTAAAAGAAAATGATGAAAGTTTGAAAATATTTTGAAACCTTCTTATTATTAAAGACTAGAAATTCATGTGTGTATTATATTCATAATGTATTTTTAGTTATGAAATTGAATAAAAAGAAATGTAACTTAAATTATTGGATTAATAATAGAAACATCGTATTAATTATTGTTAAATATCACTTCACTTCACATTTAATAATAAAATTGTATATTGTATATTTGTCTCATTTAATCAGATTTAACTTTTTTTTTTAATACAAATTATCAAAATTGCACTAATTATGTATATTTAATTTTTTATACTAATAATTTAAAAATTTATAAACATAAAAGTTAACTTATAAATTTTATGTATACTGCAAGACAAAATATTAAATTATTTTAAGATAATTATAATATTTTTTTTAATTTATAAAATCTCGCACATAACATGGGTTACCACTAATTTTTTTTTTTAATACATAAATAAGAGTTGCACATAAAACATTAAATGGCAAAATATATTTTACATGAGGTTATTCATTAAAATTATCCATTAAATTTATTAACACAATAAAATTATCAACAAAAAATGTGTTACATCTGGTTCATTGAAATAAAAGTATAACAAAATATACATATATTTTTTTATCTTTCATAAGGAACTATGAATAGAATTTTATTTTTTTAATTAAATTAAACATCAAAGTAAATATTTTAATAGATATTAGTAATGTTATACTGTTGGAATCGTCGAATTGGTTTGCTGATTATTTGATCTGTCATCTGACAACAAGCTACGGATACGGGTGACAATTGCAGTAAATAAGTGTTATATCAGTCATCTAATTAATTATTTAAACGGTCGATCAGTATGTACAAATTTAAATAATTTGAGCAAACTCAAATTCAAAAATTATCCTAATTTGTGTATATTGATTGACCGGTACAAAACTTATTTATCACGAGGATTGTCACTTTTATCAATGGCGAATATCACTTTATTACCCAATGACCAGCCAAATGAGTATTCGGATGACCAGTATGTTAAAATTCGGGCAATTTAGATAAGTTAAAATTCGAATGACGTGGCATTACTCCTAAATCAATCAGTCAATAGATGAGACCTTACAATACTTACGATGAAGACGCACACATATTGCGATTGGGGTGATGGTGGTGGTGGGCGTATTTTAAGGATTTAACCGGGGCACAAAGCATCCACAACGATGATGATACTTTACCAGATCTACAAACCAAACGTGTACTCATTCACGTTCACGTTCACAAATCTGATCATATTCCTTTCTCTAAATCACAACAACAACAACAACAACAATGGCGATCCAGTAGTAGACCCACCCATACCAAACATCAATGGAGTCCGAGCTCAAAGACCTAAACCCCAACTCCAACTCCAATCAACAACAATCTTTAGACCCCATCGATGAGGCCTCGAGCAAAGACGACCGTCCTCTCCTCAAACCCGACGACTCGGCACCATTGAGTCCGCCACCTATCTCCGCCGCCAACATCGAAGAGTTAGAGAAAAAATTCACCGCCTTCGTCCGCAACGATGTCTACGGCACCATGGGCCGCGGAGAGCTTCCCTGGACCGAGAAGGTTCTGCTCGGAATCGCATTCCTTACTCTCGTCCCGATCCGAGTCGTCCTCGCGATGACGATACTGGTTTTCTACTACTTGATTTGCCGAATCTGTACGTTGTTCTCGTCGCCGAATCGGGAGGAGGAACAGGAGGATTACGCGCACTTGGGAGGGTGGAGGAGGGCTGTGATTGTTCGGTCCGGGAGGTTTCTCTCTAGGGTTATGCTTTTCGTTCTAGGGTTTTATTGGATTAAAGAGACAAATCGGAGTCCAGACATTGATGGGAAATTGAATACTGAGGTACTAATTTCGGAGCTCATAAGTTTGTTTTTTGGTTTCTTGATATTAGGGTTTTGCTTGCAGACTTACAGTACTATTACTGTCAATGTCATCTTTGTCGCAGTACACACCATATCCCCTATTCATAAAATGTATTTAAACCCATCTTTTACTCCATTGCATACGAAATCTCACTGGAGTTTCTCTGATCTTTCTGTTTTTGAAGCAAGAATGGTGAACAAAGACATTAAATTTGATGATGATGATAGCACATGTTTTTAAAGGTTTAATAGAATTAGATTTTTCTCTTTGATGATGATACCACTTGTGTTCTAAGGCTGTTTTATACAAGCTACAGTTTGTAGGTGGCTCTTTTTATCAACTTTTAATTTTCCTTCCATCTTATCTCATGTACCTGAATATGTTACAGACAGTGTTACCCGAAAACATTGATTCCCTAGCGAATTATGTTTTGAAATGCATGTTCCAAATATGGTAAATTTTCATTCCAAAACAGTAAATTTGGCGATTCAAAAAGTTTGTTCTAATATATTTCCTTAAGATTTCCTTGGGAGTAAAGAAAATCAAATATAATGACCTAAAATTTAAGGTAAGTGAAATTTTAACATGAAAAATCATAAAAAATGAGTCATGATGTTCATAAAAATGTGTTGCCAAATGATTAATTTGGGGATTTTTTTTTTTTTGGATGTCTAATTGTTTAAAAAACTTATCTAGACTAAAAGTATCTTAAATCCTTGGTGCAAACTATACAAGCTTGTCCCTATTGTACCACAATTTAGTATATGTGACGTACTGCTTTCCCATTCCCATTCTCTGTACTGGAACGATCCATGTTTTAGGTAACTTAGGTTAGAGAGTAGTCTCAAAATGACTGGGTTATCATCAACGAACTATGTGGGTGTTTGGGAAGTTGCTATTTTAGTAGGTTATTTTAATTTTTGGCTATTTTAATAGGTTAAAAGTTTTGCTTTTGGGTAGATGATTGAATTTTTTTATAGTTGGATGTAATGTTTGTCAGAGGAAAAGTAAAATGATTATAGGTTTGTTGTGACATTTTGTCTTATTAGCAATTTTAGCCTATTTTGTTTTTTTGTAGATTTTAGCCTAAAAAAGGCTAAAAACTTTCTTGCCAAACACCCCCATAGAACTACTACACTCTAGTTATGAATTGGTCTACCAAAATGGAATCACTAATTTCTGTTTATTTTGTGTTGCTTCACTGGGAAGTCTGATATGATGAGCACATTTTAGAAGTGGATACGTTGTAAAATGATTTGTCTTGGTTAATGTTTCCTTAAATTTGTGCTCTTCCAGAGGCTAATGTGGCAGTATGCTGATCTTTGCTTCCTTTTTTATTTTGGCTCTTTTTTCTTTCTAATTGGTCAGACTGACGTCAAAGATCAATCTGAAGAACCTGAAAGACCTGGGGCTATCATATCTAACCATATATCTCATTTGGATATATTATACCACATGTCTTCCTTCTTTCCAAGCTTTGTTGCTAAGGTGTGCCAGCTTGTTGCATTAAAGAATTCGTTGTCACATATGATTTGCATACGCAAGAACTGCTTGAAATTATGTTCAAACCTTTGGCTTTGGTACTGACACATTTCTGTGCTGATTCTGTTGATCTTAACGCTGGACTTTTTCCGCTGAAGAGATCAGTGGCTAAACTTCCTCTAGTTGGTCTCATCAGGTTAGTTCACATCATGTCATCTATTTTTAGTATACTGCATTTGATTGGCTAATAAAGCCTTTGATTGTTATTTCTTGCTTTATGCAGCAAGTGCCTTGGTTGCATTTATGTCCAGCGGGAGTCAAAATCATCTGACTTCAAGGGCGTTTCTGGTACATAAATCTTTGATGTCTTGTCTTAATTAGAATATTGATGAATGATTGAGTAATTATCGTATGTTCCTTGACATGTCTTTCTATGTTTCTTTCTATATTACTGTCTGTAAGCATGGTTTCAAGCCTGAGTGGATGTCATACTTATCATGTACTTCCATAGCAAGAGTTAGGATTAAAGCTGAAGTTCACACTCTGCTGCTCTTATGTCACAAGAATCGTATTTTAGATGATAGAGAAATGGCATGCTATTCCACTTTGAGAAGTAGAAAGTTGCTGGTTTATAAAATAAAGATGATTGTCCATGGGTTTTTTGTCAGGGAAAGAAGTAAATGACCAATGTTTGGCTTCAGTGCATGGGCATAATTATGGAAGATTGAACAGTGATACTGTCATGATTTTCAAGATAGGAGAAGTTGTAGCTAAGATACAACATTGCATAATTCGTGTAAACCTATAGAAGTTTAAATTATCGTCAAATAACTGATAGTAATTAGTTTCCATGTCCTTAGATCATTATGAATATACCTTCAATAGACACAAATACAATTAATATATTAAATACGACACCTAATACATCTGAAAACATATTGGGTGCCTTAGAAATAACTCAATATTGTACAATTGGTCTACTTAATGGGACCTCTTATTGCACATCCCATTTTTTTCCTTTCTTTGCTATCAACTATATGAGATAAATGTGTTTTACAAATTGATGGAGGTAATGGTGTGGGCCATGTCCAAATTTGACAGACGTCTGCTGCCCTCATCATGTATTAGGAGAAATTATGAAACGAAAAAAAGAAAAAACTTCGATTCCATAGTATTGAGATTTTGATTTTGAGCATTGGTCGTGGAATAATTAAGACAGCTTTTCTTCTTACCGAGCTCATTATATACACTATACAGTTTCTGTCTTTTACAGCTCATAATGGGGACAGTTCCTTTAGTATATGCAGATATTTTCTCATAATGTAGTTTTGTTTATCTCAACAAGCCGAGAACAGTTATTTTATTTTACCGTAATCAGAATGTTTGCAGAGATTTTGAGTCTTTTGACCCCTATTGTTGCTTGCAGGTGTTGTCAACGAAAGAGTTCAAGAAGCTTATCGGAATAAGTTTGCTCCAATGATGATGCTTTTCCCAGGTTACTATTTTGATGTTATAAGTACACTGGTGTCTTTGTGATGCCTGCTTGTTTTTATCGTTCATTGCCTATCAATAATGTGACTTTTTTTGTGCTAACCTGAGGCTGCTCTAATTATTTCCTTCTATTTATTTTGAGGACACAATAACTATTTGCAGATACTAGTTACTAAAGCTTCCAAGGAACAGAGTAAATATATTTTTAAAACTAAACGAAATTAGTCACCTTGTATTTAGTTGTACTTCTGATAGTGTCCTTGACATGATTTCTTTATACTGTGGTTTGTAGAATTTGTAATTGTTTCTAGTTCTCTATCTATCTAGTGATAATTGTCAGACCAGTCTAGTTTCTTATTTATCTAGTAGTAATTGTCAGTGATCTAGTTCCCTACGTTGGTCAGCAATACCGGTGATTTTCATGGGAGTTTAATCAATTACTTTTGCCTACTCTGTGGTATATATCTTCAAAGTTCTACAGTATGTCTATCACTGGGTCCTGGTACAGTTTTTTGGGTCATGCTACAGTGCAATTTTTTTGGGTGGTTTGGAAGTTTAAAAGATCTGTTTCTCTCCTTCATATCTTTTCACTTTGTTTGACAACATTTGGTTTCTCTCATACTATACCATTATTATGCATGCACATGTCTTAAATTCTTGAAGTATGTTTAAAAAGTTGCATAGGAGTCTATAGCATACAATGAATTTGTCATCATTCATAATATCCAGAAAATTAATTTAATTATTTAATTAATATTAGGTCTTTGATCTCCCCAATTTCTTTATATAGGGAGCATTTCATTAATTTAATGAAATGCATAAAACCTTCAGTCAAATCTTTTTGAGCATTTATCCTGTAATTTGGAGATAGGCATTAGTTTATTAATGCTAAACAGTTTGGGTTTGGCTCTATAATGCATTTTTCTCAATTTTTCTAGCTTCAAGGAATCAAGGAAATTTAAGTGAAATCAATAGAACATGAAATTTTGTAGATCTCATGTCAGTTTAACAACTTTGTGGCTATTGATTGAATATCCAGTGTCTATATTGAAGAAAAATAATGACCTCTCTTTTCGCTTTTATATATATATATATATTTATTTTATGGAATTCAGTAGTTGGTAGTGGGATTAGGTCCACATACTTGTCCAGAGTGCTGTTTCAGTTGTATAATTGCTTTTGTATTTACTACAGAGGGCACAACTACAAATGGAGACTTCCTCCTCCCATTTAAGACTGGTGCATTTCTTTCTAAAGCTCCAGTTCGTCCAGTGATTTTAAGATATCCATACCAGAGATTTAGTCCTGCCTGGGACTCCATTTCTGGGGTGAGTATTTATTTCACAATTCCAACTTGCATGATCTCTAAAACCAAACAATGAAGGCTGAGCTTATGTAGTTCTGGATCTAAAAATTAAGTCAATAGAACTAAGTGATTCCATGGTCATGGTTATATTTGTTTTTTGCTTTTGCTTTATTTTTAGCCAAATTATTAATGGGACTTAGAAATTATGTATGATTTGTTTTTGTATGTAAGCCAAGCAATTACTTTGGGGCTTGTTTGGTGCAGTTTTTGTAAGCTGAAAGCTGATAATAAAAAAGTAGATGCCAAAAGCGCCCCTCCTAACTTCCACTTGATTAGCTTTTTTCAACTTATTTAAGTTATTTTTGCTTAATAAGTGATAAGCAAAAACTGCACCAAATAGTTTTGGCACAAACTCCCAAAATAAGAAAAGCTATAAGCAACTCATGTAAGCTCACCAAACAGCCTCTTTGTCCTGTGCAATAAAATAAATGAAAAATATAAGATTGAAGACGTTGTCATTTAGTTTGTGATTTTCTCCTGTGGTGACAACATGTATCTCATTTATAGGTGCGCCACGTAATTTTTCTGTTTTGTCAATTTGTAAATTACCTCGAGGTTACACGGTTACCTGTCTACTACCCTTCACAGCAAGAGAAGGATGATCCAAAACTTTATGCTAATAATGTCCGAAGGTTGATGGCTCGGGAGGTATGCATTTTCCTTCAGTTTCTGATAATTAAAGTTGTAATTTTGAATAGAATCACATATGAGCTAACTAGCTTTCAAATTCCTCATAGGATGAATGCTTACCAAAAAGGAAAAAGAAAGACAAAAAGATGGCCTCATTAGATATATATTTGGTTAATTTGTACAAAACGAATTGAGGGTATGTTCAAAGAGTAAAACATTGAAATCCAGAATTGTAGGTGTAGTTGAATGTTCATGGAGCCTGGCTTCCAAATATCTTGCAGAAGTTACACTCACATTAAATTTCCCAAGTCTAGATTTTTTAAGTAATGGGATTTTTACCCACAGGTTAAAAATAAACTACCCTTTGTATAGTATGCAATTCTAGAGAATAACTAATGTGGAGTAAAGTAGAGGATTGCTTATGCTTTTTCCACTGAGAAACTTAGACATGCTTAGAATGTTGGTGGGTTTTAACCGGGCTCTTTTAGGGAAATGGTTGCGGCGTTTTGCTATGGAGAGGGAGCGGTTATGGAGGAGGATGGTGGTGGCGAAGTATGGGGTGGCCAGAGGGGGGTGGTGCTCGAAGAGGGTGGTCCATCCTCATGGTCGTGGGTTGTGGAAAGGGATTTGGCTAGGGTGGACGGAGTTTTGGGATAGGACTCGGATTAAGGTGGGGGTAGGGGACAGGACTCGTTTTTCGCAGGATCGGTGGTGTAGCGAGGTGCCTTTGGCGAGTATGTTTCCTGTAACGCCCTCAAAATAAACCCATAAATCATACATTCAAGACATCCATAAACTTAAGAGAATAAAGCATAATTTTATTTATCAGAATATTCTTACAAGAGATACTACATGTTGACAATAAAAGTAAATGCCCTATAGGCTTACAACTTTCCAAGTCAATACTTGAGTTCAACAAAAATAGAGTTTTAACTCTTTACACAAAATAAGCCATTGGCTTGATATACATGTAATACAAAAAGATAATCACAAAAAGATAAGCCTTCAACTTCTACAACCTCCCAAGCTAAGACCTTGGAGGCGGCATATCACCTGCACCTGAAAATAATGTCCCATATAGAGTGAGCCAACGCCCAGTAGAGATATGCTAAACATAATACGAGTAACAACTAAAACATGAGCATTCGACAAATGTTAACACTAGCCAACCAACTTACAGCACAATCCAATTTCATGACAAATATGTCCATGTTTCATTTTACTTTCCTTTACTTAACCAATTCTCAATTCATAAACATGGCTCAGAACCTAGTCAAACAATTAAATGAGATTACAACTCATATCAACAATACTTCCATTTCAAATGAGATAACAACTCATATCAACAATACTTCCATACTTCACAAATGATACACATATTTGCTGTATCAAAGTCATATTAAAACACTTCCATACTTCACAATAGATACACATATTTGTTGAATCAATGGAGTCCATCCCCTATCTCCCCCCAAATAATATCCGGTTTAGGAGTCCATCTCCTATCTCCTCCCAAACCGTAGAATACATCTCCTATTTCCTCCCACACAATACAATGTATATAAACAATTATCATATGCATGATCAATCAATACACATATTCAATGTATTATTCCAACCGTCATATTCAATGACATATTCAATCGATTAGTTTTAATTCACCTAATCATCATGCAGTGCCTACAACAATTAAGATTATCTTCCACCGATAGCCCGAAGCAATTATTTCTAAACAGATAATAAATGCATAAACAGATAAATTATCAACATTTTCAGAAGTGAGCGATTAATAAATCCAACTCCACCATTTGATCTTATCTTAAGCCAATTTCATCATTTCACAATGAAAGTCATTAATTACACTAATGACCCAACAAAATCCAAATATGGCATTTTTCCTATTTTTTTCAATATTGACCCAATGGTCCAAATATCATTAATAAACATTCATAACTTCATTTTAAAACCCACATATACAAGTTTATTTCAAAGGAAACAAAACCCTCCTTTATATATTTCAAAACTCAAATCCTAACTTTCCAAATCAAATCATTTATACAAAATGCTCAACATCTATGTTAAAGATCATAAAAATGAGTAGTTATCCCTACCTCAAATGGAGAGACCCAAAGGTGATGATGAAGAAATTCGAAATGCTCCAAAACCAAAGATTTTCAGATTAAAATGTAGCCTAAGCCAAGCTCTACACTTTTTGCAAAGAAACTAAGGGAGAAGATCACTCAAGCTAGATGATTTCTTAGAGAGGAGTTGAAGTTTAGAGTGAGAAGCTCTCAAATGGAGGTTTTAAAAAGGTAGAGAGAGAGAATGTCGAAAAAGTGATCCAAAAAACTATTTTTCGGACTGATAAACAAACAGGTACGCTTGAGCGTGGAACGCTCCGCTCGAGCGTTAGACACAGACTTACGCTCGAGCGTCAAAAGCGCCGCTCGAGCGCCAGATGCACACTTCCAAAAGTTTTGTAGTCGATGGTCCCTGCTCGAGCGTCCGATGACCTGCAGAATAAAATACTGGGAGATGAATAATCACGCTCGAGCGTCAAAATGCCCGCTCGAGCGGAGAAGCAAAAACAAAAGGGTCTGCTCGAGCGTCAAAAGCCCCACTTGAGCGTGGAGGCCAAAATCTGGACATCAACTCTTGGTTTCCAAACACAATCAACCTGTTTCAAACCTGCCCAACACAATCCAAAACTCAAATACGAAGAGTAAAGGATGGAAATGAGAATATGACAACAATACATCCACGGAACCAAGTTCGAAATGCAATAAACTAAGAAGGGAAAACTGGGATCGCTATATTTCCTATGGTTTATGCTATTGCTGCGGATGGGGAGGAGTTGGTGGAGTCTGTTAGAGTTAGGCAGGGGCAGTTATTTGTTTGGAATGTTCACCTTCGTCGTAATGTGCAAGACTGAGAGTTGGATCAACTGGTGGACTTGCTGGGCGTTTTGTATGGTGTCAAGGATGGGGGGAATGGAGCGGACTCTTTGGTGTGGGATTGTTCGAGATCTAAAGGGGTGTTTTCAGTGTCTTCTTTTTATGGTATGCTTGAGGGGGGGAGTAGGGTAGTGTTTCCTTGGAAGAGCATTTGGGCAATGGGTTCACCTTCCAAGGTGGCTTTGTTTGTTTGGACTGCTGCTTTGGGGAAGATTTTGACTATTGATAACTTGCGTCGGCGGGAACAGGTTCTGATTAATTGGTATTGCATGTGCTGTAGGGATGGGAAAACGGTGGATCACTTGCTTTTACATTGCCCAGTTGCGTCTCAACTTTGAAATTCTATTGTGGCTTTGTTTGGGATGGTTTGGGTGCAACCGGGGTCGATATTGGGTGTGGTTCAAAGTTGGGGTGGGGCTAGGGTGGGGAAGCGGCATTGGAAGGCTTGGGTTTTTGCTTCTCATTGTTTGACATGGTTGTTGTGGTTGGAGCAGAATAGGCGTGTTTTTCAGAATGAGTGCCGTTCTGTTTCCTGGCTTGAGAGTCGGTTGTTGCTGGTTTTGCATAGTTGGGTTTCGGGTTCAGCTGATCCAAGTGTTTTGGTTTTTGTAGATTTTGTGGAGGATTTACTTAGATAGTTTGGTTTGGCCCTTTGTGGGTGATTTTTGTATTCCTTGCATCATCTCGATGCTTTTCTAATAAAGTCCATTTATTTATCAAAAAAAAAAAACATCTTTAGTTTATTTCGTTCTACAACATTATAACACACTTCAAGGTTTCATTGGAACCTTCATGGAGCCATGTGTCAAGGTGGGCTGTATTTATAATCCCAGTCATTTTAAAGTGTGGTGCTGGAGTTGCAGAAAGACCAAGGAAAAATTACAAAAGAAATATTTGGTTTGTGAGTGAGGACTGATTGTAATGGGATTTATTGTTCAGGTTTTTAGCCTATGAAATAAGTTGGTTTTCTATTTTAAGGGTTGTGAATAATAGGATCTCGTGACACAGCTAGGTATTATTCTGGATTTTATTAAAATTTGAGCTCTCAAGGATTGAAGTCCTGTATTGAGGGTAAATAGCACCCAAACATTGATGGAAAATCATATAATAGGAAAGTAAGGGTGAAAAAAGGATTTTGTATTCTGTGATTAGGAATTTAGGATATTAACTTTCTTGGCAGTACTGTGGGGACCTCCTTATTTCGCTATATTAGGCAAAAACAATAGTTACCAAACCTAGGAAAAGTACATAAATTTATTCTTAGAACATGATATGGAAAACCGTGGTTAGATGGGGTTGGAGCTGCTTGCTTTGCTTCTTAGTTGAACAGGATAAATGATGAAGAAATGCATGGAATTGTAAAAGTTACTCGAACATTATGTGCTGTGATGGTAAATACTCACTTTCATGGGCTAGATAGCTCACATGTTTCTGCAAATGGTTGAACTTGCCCAAAAATGAACTGGTCTAACATGTGATCAATAATTGTCAATTTAACTAAGGCAGACGTCACAAACTACTGTTTTGAGTTCTGGGTTCTGTACTTTAAAACATGCTGTTAAATTTGATTATATATCATGGCAACTGGTTTGATTTGCTGTTTCTTTTGTTTGCAGGGTAATTTGATACTGTCAGATATTGGTTTGGCAGAGAAACGAATATATCATGCTGCTCTCAACGGTAATAATAGCCTGCCTAGCGTTTTGCATCAGAAAGACGATTGATAATTTTATGGCCTCGCTCTCAAAAGATATCTAGGCCCCAGTTGGGTTTCTTAGTCTCCATGGTATTTGATTTTTTGAATATAGATGGTGGTTATCTCTGCATACTGAGACAAAAACAAACATTGGTGTGCTATAGCACTCTTGTAATGTTCTAATTCATAGTAACATATGACCATTAAATCAAGTGCTATGATGTGCTTGTTGATCTTTTCTCCCCAATTAAGCGTCCAGTTTAAGGACGAACTTGGTTTTAATGTTTTTTGCATGCTCAATATAACCCATTTGGCAGGTATGCGCATCTGTTAATCTGAAATATCTCTTTCGTGTTCCTGCAGGTTCCTTTTGCCAACAGTAAATTTGGATTCGCCATCTGTATAGTCATTGTATTAGTCTATTATTTACGAACAGTGAAGTAGAAATTTATATCTAGAAAATTGTGATTGAACAAACTTTATTATTACCTTGTCCGGATGCAAATGAATCTGTCTGGACTTTGGATTGCTTTCGAGTTTGGTGCCATTTTTCAAAGCTGGCCTTTTTCTGATGTTTCTGCATTTGATTTTAGGTTAATAGAGATCCAGAAAGTTGATTTGTTTTGGTTAAAGTGGATCGGGCAACTCCAATATAGCTGTTTTCTGCTGTTGAACCATTGTTGTATTGTTCCCAAGGATCACTGCTTTCAGTTGTGATCTTTTCTCCTTTACTTGTATCTCATTATTTTTTTTCTATTTCTTTTTTTTTTTAAAGTTTCCTCCGTGGGGAGCTGTAATTGTGGTTTGAAAATGAGTTTCTTGTGGTTGTTTGGACCTAGTTGTATTTGCCAAATCAAAAGCTCCTTATGGCGGAGTTGGGTTGGGGGATCATTGTCGGATTCAGTGTCATTCTCTTGATAACAGGCAACCCATGCACATTTTGCATGATTATTTGAAGTCGCATGCCCATGATTAGGTTGTAATATTTTCTTTTTAAATTGTATTTTTGTAGATAATAAAACTATCTTCTGAAAATTATATTAATTTTTAATACTTTCTTGCAGTACTCAAAAGAGCAAGAGCACCCTCACATTGTAGACGACACATTCTTTAGGCACTCAAAAAATTCTTGAATAGACTACAAAAAACTCTTATTTGCAATGTATCCAAGGCTAAAGTCAACCTAGGCAAATGATGCAGGTAAATTGAGCAAAGGAAACTGCAAATTACATCTAAATTGCTATCCGTTTGTTTTGGCTTAAAACATTTTTCATTTTATCCCCAATTTTGGTTGGCAATCACAATTTCTGTAAGGACTGATTGATCCTTGCTAGCACGCTCACATTCACAAAAATACCCTTCGAAAAGCCAAAAAGCCAACAGAAAGTTATTTTGTCAATAAAATATTTTTAAATTAAATTCTTCCCGCCCACTATATTATTACCACTTTCATCACATTACTACCCACCAACACACCATCACCACCACGATTGTTAGCACACTAGTTTCAAGGATGTTTAATTGTTAGCACACTAGTTTCTAGGATGAAACTAAACACGAGAAAACATTTCACAAGCTAAACAAACACGAGATAACGTTCCACAAAGAAATGTGTTCCGCTGAAACAAGTGAATTTTAACAAATTAGCATAAGAGAATTTTAACATCAGAACATAATGTTACAAAGACGACAACAATTACCACACAACCGACAGAAAGTAAAAAGAAAATACATCATGATGGCAAGCTTCATTCTGCTGAGATAGGTAAAAACATCACAATGTTTACACACTTTGCCGCCAATACAGCCTGTGGAACTTGCTCATTGTATTTAAAATTACATAAAAGGTTAGAGAAACCTTCGAAACAAATCTTGTTCAAGAGATTTTGAAGAAAAGGGATTTTAAACAGTCATCTTCATTGTGCCTTTCCTTAGTGACCCGTTGTTAGACTTACTGAATTCCCATGGAGGTAAGCACCCTTTAAAGGGCAGTTGTAACGATGAAGATGTTGACAACTGCCTTTGCCTCGTTGAGATAGAAGATAAGCAACTGAAGGCACTTCTCAACCTTCTCTTCTCGCTATCACATGCTTCGCAACTTGGATCGTGTCGCACAGCAGAAATTTTAAGTGATTCGGGTAGTACACAGTTGAAGATTGAACCTAACAGGATAATAAACAGAATGAAGAAAGTCAAATAAAATACATGATTTAAAGGGGAAAAAAAATGTAGCACAATGGTAACATCGCTTGATAGGTTGCCCCACTAAGAGATTCATCTCTCATCCCAAGGGCTAAATGAAAGAAAAAAAAATTAGAAAATTCTCTTCATGTAAGCAAAAAATCAAATATTCAGTGGTTATGATGAGGAAAGTGTACCTGTTTTTGCCAGGCGATTTACCCATTTTGGAATTGGTTTCCCCGTCAGCTGGTAACAAATGTCCTTGCAAAAATGGTTACAGTTCTTGACAATCAAGTGATACGTGTCGCCATTGTAGTTTGCAGAGTGGCGCTCCATGAACTCCCGAAGCTGGATTGCATCCAAGCACGTAGTTCCGATGAGTATTGACTTCCTAAACTTGAATCCTGGGCATTGCCGAGGTTCAACCTCAAAGACACCACTCGATGGATAGTCATGAGCTCCAAAAGCATATTCTACTCCATGAACTGAAAAGTGCAAGCAGAGTAATTGAAGAATATTTACTTCATCTGAATAATTAGGAGCAATACATAAAAATAAACTGAACAATGAGAATTTTCTATTTGTGCACAGTTAATTGACTAATCTGCAATACAATGCATGTGAAAAGACATCGGAAAAGAAGACTTCCTATCCAATTTCAGCAAGAGGACAAGACTTCATATATCGTTCTAGATTTCTGGATGAATTATAATTTGATGCACAACTGCTCTACCACTTGATGACAGAAGGGTCGCAAGAGGCACCAGTGCACATGAACTAGAGAATAGATGAAAAGAAGCTATATCTCTTTAAATCATCTTTTCTGATTATATATCGTGCATTGTTTCTAAAGCAACAAATATACAAATACAAGCCATCTTGGATTTGGGCAAGATTGCAGCATGGTCAGGAAAGCATCAAAAACATCCCCCCAATCCCAAGTCCAAGATAGATACAACTTGTTCTCATCTCAGTACCAAATACAGCAAAACTAGGTGTACGGTCAAATAGAGAAATCTAAAAAAAAACTTAAAAAACAAAAAAAGAAGAAAAGAAACAAACAAACAAACAAAGCATGAAAACAAAGTATTTATCAAAAAGAAAAATAAAAAGAACAAAATATAAAGCAGATGACTTTACCTTCTACACCAGAGTGAAAGATGCCAAAACCAGCCCAATAGACATAGCCATTCATGGGTGTCAAGTCATACACATTGAGATAAACTGGTGTATTGCCTGGACCATAAATAGCTGGTTTGATTCTGGGGAATATGCAAAAACGGATGGCTGATTTTCCTCTCAAACGGAAAGGAACTTTCGGTTTCCATCCTTTCTTTGATCCAAATTTCATGATGCTTTTAATCTCAAGGTCACTTGTAACCTGTAAACATGGACGAGTATAAAAACATAAGGCCTACAGTGTAAACTCTAAAGAAATCAATAGGAAGGGAGGAATCAGAGAAGCATATTTTTGTGAGAGAGAGAGAGAGAGAGAGAGATTTAATTCTTGTACATAATAATCAATGATATTGGATGCTATCAAATTGTAGATAAAAGTATTTTCCATGTGTTTCATAAAACCATAAAAATAAATAAATAAAAAGAACTGAAAATGTTGCACCAAACACATCAGCCTGGCATAATATACCAAAAAAAAACTCATGCAAGACTTGCTTTTCAAGTGAACAAAATATTAGGTGCTCACAATTATCTTAAGAAGAGAAGTCTCCCAACTGAGAAAGGGAGAATAATTTGGTGTATAAAAAATTTATAGCTGTCTAAACAAAATAATGATAAAACGTGCATGGGTGATGAAGTGTCTGAATCTACACCAGTCAACAGGAAAAACCATCAAATGAGCAGCATCCATGAAATCAAGCTTCCACATGAGTCAATGAAAATTAGGATGCCTCGGGAGAGTACAGAGAATCCTTTAAATTTTAACCTCATTATCAGGGGTGTAATGTGTTGCTCTATGGATTTGCCTAAAACAATTTATCAGATACCAAACATCATAAACTAAATTCACAGAAAGTTCATGCCCTATGATTTTTTTTTCTTTTCCATACTCAAGAACAGATTTATGATACATCTGTATCACAACCAGACAATATAACTAGATCAATCAGTTGGTTTTTTTGACATAGGCTGTCTCTGAAAAATGACACTTCCGTCAAACAACTACAAAAATTACAAAACCGTTTTACCATTACCCTCCTGATTGCAGTTAACATCCACTAAATCAATTATTATAATACACCTAAAGATTAACCAATTCCAACCACCTTCAAACATTAAAAAGCTAGAAGATATAATTAAGTTAATCAACTCCAGTAAGTTGACTTTGAATATTTCTAAAATATTGGATAAATGCCAGGAACTTTCTCCTAGCAAGAGAGTCAGCACAGAATCATAGGAAATAAAATATTTGAGAAACCTACTCCAGAGAATCTAATTGAAAAGTGGGAGGCCACTATTATAATTTATTACCCTAATTTTGATTTAGATACATATAGCCAGCATTTCAAGTTGGCTAATTTATTTAATTAGTTTCTGGTAGAAATATGATTGAAATCTTAACTTTCAATACTTTTAAGATGGAAAACCTGTAACAAACACTAGCTATGTTTTATTGAAGTTTAAATTTATGGTCTGAATGTTACATGGACTCGGGTACAGTGGTCGGGTCGGGTGCGGGTATGCATCTGCAGGTCGGACTCATCAAATCATAAATTTAAAGGTATGCGGACTTAGCAAACAAATGTCATATTTTTATTATTTTTGATCAAGTATGTAAGATAAAATGGTGCTATATGTAACTTATAGCGTCAAAAAGATATTTACAACAATTATATAACAATATGTACATATAATAGTAGTGTTAAATACAATTATATAAGAAGTGTCTGATGAAAAGTATCCGACACATATTCCATACCCTAATCCGAGGGTTGGGTATCCGACATGGGTATTTGATTTATTTTGAAGAGTCTGTGTAACAGAAGGTGGTGTTTGGGAAGTTTGTGTGCTGGGTTTTTTTTTATTTTTGATACTAAAAGACAAAATTTTGCAAAACCAAAAAAAAACAAATCCAAACAAAATATCACATCCAACCCCATAATCATTTCACTTTTTCTCTCACAAGCATCACATCCAACCACAAAAAAACCCACCTATCTTCCCAAACATCAAAAAAAATTTATCCAATAATATCCTGCAACTAAAAAAAATTACATAAAAAAACACTTCCTCGACACCCACTAAGTAACCAACAACGACTTCCATAGTCCAAAATTCCGAGCTCTATCGTCAAACTGTTGGCTATGTAAACTGACTATCCTTCTAACAAATCATTGAAGATAGGTCAAACAATAAATTTTAAAGCTACTGCAGAGGTGACATGTATATATATTTATAGAGAGAGAGAGAGAGAGATCTGAAACTCAAGTCAAGACATCAAAACCAATCCTAATTCCAACTACTTGGGGTTGGCAAACAGAGACATTTAGAACAACTCAGAGCCCAATTGAATATGAGAAAACCCAACAAGAGGTTTGACCCCTACACAAAAAGCACACCATATAGATTCTCCACAACACCGTCTTTGTTTATTTGTTTGAGCCAAAGTACCATTAAATCAAAAAAAATAAGTCACCACAGTTCACCACAAACGTAACACAAAATTGTTAAATTTTAGCAAAATAGCTCCAAACCACCAACATTATTCAAGCCTGTTTACCTAAAACAATACCCTAACTCTCAACAGCTGCATTTCCACACAAAAAATACATGAATTAGCTTAGTTCATTCACCAACAAAACTAGGAATTTCACATTCTTACCATAAAATAAGAAAAACAAGTAGAGGATTACCTTAAAATTCTTAGAATGTGTAAAATTAAGGTACATCTTGCAAAATTATTCGAAACCCAAAAACACAAAACACAAAAACCGAACAGTAAAGTATCAAGCTATGCTTAAACTCACAGATCAGACAGACGATACACACATAAATTGTATACAGATTCGTAAAACCAAGAAAATGGGAGAGACCCAGATCACAGAGGAACAAGGAAAGTTTGTGCTATACATATATATATATATAGAGAGAGAGAGAGATAGAGAGCGAGAGGAGTTACAGATGTGGAGAGAGATTGCCATTGGAGAAGAGATGAGAAAAACCCAGATTCTCCACAATAAAACTGACTATGTTAGTGACCCAGAGACTGTAAATCTTGCTGATAAACACACAATAATAATGGTTTTCTGAGAAAACCCAGATAAGATAACAAACAATGCTAAATTTTGAAGGCAACGGGAGTGCTTTCTGTGCTTTATAGTAGCTTTGAGTTGAGCCAGAACAGAACAGAACAGAACAAATTAAAGCTGTGGAAAACAAATAAAGAAAAATAAACAGAGAATAAAGAAGAAGAAAAGACAAATACCCAAAACATGCGTAGTTATTGACCAAGGCATCCTTAGTAGTCTTTTATTAACTAACTGTTTTTTTTTTTTACTTTTGAAATAGTATCGGTTTAATTTGTTACTAGGGTAAAATTCTCATTTTTATTTTTTTGTAATTTTTCTAACAAAATAAAAAAAAAAACTATTTAGCTTTGGACCCATCAATTCTATTTATATATGTATATATATAATTGGAATTGCTGCAGATTATATAACATATACGGGGTCACAAATTTAGAAATCTTTAAATTTAATGTAATTTCATACAACGTCTACAGAAATTTAATTTTCTAACATTC